GACCGGACTGTGCATGCAGACAGGCAGCCCTTTCCTCCCCAGGGGTTGGCACAGCAGCACTGGCTGTCAGTTACCCAGCTGTGGCTTTCTAACAAGAAGCTGATGCCACCAACGGTGACAACAAGCCAAATTCAGGACGTGGAGGCTCATAGGCGCCGGGCCCTGCCGACAGCCACACGGCTGGAACACCCACCTCTGCCTGGGCAGGCTGTCCAGGCTCTCAGGATGTCAGGGCCCAGTATGGAGAGCGGGGGTTTATTAAGCACTTACTGTATGCCAAGCACTGTGCTTGGAGCTTTGTGTGTGCTATCTCATTCAATCCTGTGAGCTACCCTGTGGGGTGGGGGCCGGTAATAGCTTTGCTTATAAAAGGAGAGGTTCAAGGTCATGCAGAGGAAGCAGGGTTTGAACCCTGACTTTGGAGCCTTCGCTCAGACAGCATCCAGGCAGCCCCCTCCTCTTGAGAACTGGAATGGGAAATAAGAGATTTGAATCAGAAAACATGGGTTCGAGCTCCAGTCTACCTGCCCTCTTGGAAGTTCTGTTGTAGTCTGTGAAATGGGGATGAATAACTCCTGGGACCCCTCTGATGAACAATAAGACAATGGACGAGAGGCAGGCACCTGCGACTTCGGCCCAGATCATGATCTCTCAGTTCGTGAGTTCGAGCCCCGAGTCAGGCTCTGTGCTGACAGCTCGGAGCCTGGAGCCTGTTTCAGATTCTGTGTCTCCCTCTCTCTCTGCCCCTCCCCCCACTCACACTCTGTCTCTCTCTCTCAAAAATAAATAAACATTAAAAAAAATTTTTAAATAAGACAGTGGATGAGAAAGAGCCTCTGGAAGGGGCAGATGTACCCTAATTTGGGTTTTCGATACCCTGAGGAAATCAGACCCAGAAAGAAGAGGGTCTTGTGTGAGGGTGAGGTCATCCTTCCTCCAGCTTCCTTCCAGTTCCCCAGACGGGGACTTTCTCTCCAGCCTCATGGTTCGCTGTCCTCCTCGTCTCCCCTACCCCCGGCCCCCCTCCAGCTTCATGCCTGCTCTGCACTCACCTCTGCTCCCATCCTCCCAGCACCAGCCTCCCTCCTGGCCTCTGCTCAGACTGGTCCCTCTGCCTGGAGCCCCCTCCCCTCCTCCCTGCCTTGCCCAGCTAACTCCCACTTCTGGTAGGTCCAAAGGCTTCGCTGACCAGCCGGTCTGGATGGGGTGCCCCCAGGTGTGCCTGAATCTGGGCTCCCCGCCCCTCACTGTCCTGTTATCACCGTGTGACCCCATCTGGGCTGCGAGAGCTCATTGAGGGGAAACCCCTCCTACTCCAACAGGATCCACAGTGCTCAGCCCAGTCTCCCACGCTGGATATCCATGCAGGGGATGAAAGAATGAATGAAACTGCAGGGCGAACCAGAACCCAGGCCTCCATCTAGGGCAAGTACTTAACCCCTTGCAGCAGCCTCCTTGGCTACTGCCCCTCCTCTAAGTCGCTCCAGTTCTGGATTCCTTCTGGGACAAGCCTGCTGAGGGGAGCCTTCGGCTGGAGGGGAGGGGACGGAATCTGGCTGCGCTGGGCTCAAGTCCCCTGCTCTGGACCTGTTAGCTGTGTGGTCTTGAGACAAATTGGAGTTTTGCACAGCAGCTGCCTGAAGATGCGTCGGGTGTTCTGTGTTCGAGGGTAGCTACCCGGAGACTGCTTGGGTGGGCAGGGGGGCGCATTCTCCCCACTCAGGGTCCCGGGGCTTGGGCCATGCCCCTGCTTCGTTCTCCCAGCTAGATGTGACTCCACTTCCCAGGGAGCTCAGTAGTGCCTGACCCATCCCAGCCGGGGCACTCGCTGACCCAGAAACCCAGTCACCTCGCTCGCCACCCGGCCCGCTGCCCCCCTCTAAGACCTACAGCCACGCCCACGCGGCCATATGCCTCACTCTCCACATCTGCTCGTCCCTATGCCTTTCACAGTTTCACAGACACCCCAGGAGCAGGAATGGGGGACAGTGACTCCACAGACTCAGCCCACACGCGCACAGTGGGCCCAAAGCAGTGACAGCTTCTCCCCAGTAGGGCACGGAGCCCAACGCCTGCCCAAGGCGGAGGGTGTGTCCCCTACCCCACCTCCCTCACCGGCTGACAGCTTCACCAGACAACAAGAGACAGCCAGGGAAAAGCTATAGAGAGCTGTTGTAAAAATACAACTACATTCAGAGCCTGTCCCCTTCGAGGCGGGGCACTCCCTCCAACAGGGCCAAGTGGAGAAGGGAAGGAACGTCACTGAACCCTTGCCAGCTCCACGTGTGCCCTCCCTGTTGCTACCTGCCACTGTCTCGGGCGTCTAGGTTGCCCGTGAGGACTCTGGGGCTTGAGATGCTTGCGCTGCCGAGGTCCACGCAGGGGGGAACTGGTTTGGGTTGCAGAGAACGTGGGGACCCCCGTTACTCCCAGAGTTGGGCCTGGACTTCTCAGGGGGACCATAAGGCTCGCCTTAGCCCAGCCCTCCCACCTCCTCACTTTCGTTGGCTCTGGAAAACCACTCCCCACATTCCACGCTCCCCACTGAGAGACTTGTAATTCCTTTGTATTCCACATTCTTTCTTGACCACTTGTCCCTCTCAACATAGACATCAATGATTAAAGATTCTTGCCCTCATGAGCTTCCATTCTAGCGGGGCAAACAAGCATAGGAGACTGTGTGGTGCACTGAGTAACAGAGAAGAGGACTGGAAGGGCAGGGCAAGGGAGATGGGAAATGCCAATGGGGGGTGGGAGGTATTAGACTGGGTGGTTGGCGTCAGCTTTATGAAGAAGGTAGGATTCCAGGAAAGTTGGGGGAGATAGGGAGGGAGCTGTATGGGAAGCAACTTCCAGGCAGAGGGCAGAGTCCTCGGGAGGGAGGGTGATGAGTGTGTTCAAGGAACAGCATGGAGGCCAGAGTAGTTCACGTGGTGTGGGGAGAGAGTATAGGTAGTGAGTCAAGAAGTAGGGGGCGTGGGGACCTCCCGAGCACCGGGAGGACGTTGGCTTTTGGAGGGAAATGAGAAGCCACTGGAGGACGTGAGTAGGGCAGGGACATGGCCAGAGGTCAGGTTCTGTGCAGACCAGCTGCTGTGTGGAGAAGAGATCCCAGAGGCCAAGGGTGGAGGCGGAGAGAATGAGGAAGAGCATTTGCCATGGCCCAGGTAATGTTCGCTCAGACCAACATGGCAGCCGTGAAGGTGGTGGGAAGTGGTCAGATGCTAGATGTTTCCTCTCTCGTTTTATGTTTTTTTTAATGTGTGCATTTTACTAAGTATTTTATAAATACATACAGAGTCTAGGTTTATTTTGAAAGGAGAGCCAACAGATTGGATGTGGGATGTGAGATATGAGAGAAAGAATTTGACATGCAGATTTTTGGCTGGTGCGGGGGGGGGGGGTTGGGGGGGCCCAAGATGGAGGAGGGGCCCCTCCGTGAAGACGGGGAGAGGCAGGTGGCAGAGGCGCTCGCTTGCACACATGTTGATTACCTGCCATCCATCTGCCCGGAGTTCCTCTTCATGTCTCGGCTTGCAGATGAGATGTCAGACCCCCAGCGTTCCCCTGGGAAGCCTGGCCTGGCCTCCCCGAATGGTGTCCTTGCACCCTGCGCTGACCCCGTTCCAACATTCCCCAGCCTGCTTTGTGATTGTCTGTTGACTTGTGTTCCCCTGATCTGAGAGCCACTTGGAGTCTGACGCATCTTTATTTCTCTGCTCTTAGCACAGGGCCTGGCTTGGAGTAGGCCCTGAGAGTGTACCTGTTGATGGGTGAGTGATTGTCCTTCCAAGAGAGCAGGCCTTCCCGGTGAAAGTCAATGACATCCCTTTGCAGTCGCACCTTGCACCTCTCAGAACTGAGTGGGGCTTGGATGCCAGCACGGGCCCATTCCCTCGATTTTAGACATTAGGAGTCAATGCCCAGGGAGAAGAAGGTAGCCTGGATCTCTCACTGGATCCCCCGTGCCCCATGCTGAAGGCAGCCTTGGCTCTCTTCCTCCTCCGTGGCACATGGCTAGCTACATCTAGAGTCCTGAGTTGGCCTCTGCTGTGGCCAGAACCCCTCTAGGAGGGGACCCAGCCCCACTAGTTGCACACCCGCCCTTCTGTAAGCACCTGCCTTTAAGTTGACCAATGCCCGTCAATCTCAAGCTCCTCTTGTTGCAATCACTACAGCACGTGCAGGGAAGGAAGGAAGGAAGGAAGGAAGGAAGGAAGGGAGGAAGGGAGGAGGGAGGAGGGAGGAAGGAAGAGAGGAAGGGAAGAAGGAAGGAAGGAAGGAAGGAAGGAAGGGAGGA